TATTCTATTATTAGCAGTGCAAGTGATAACTACAGTCGTGTACTCTTTATGTGTGTCATTTCCTGGTTTTTCCCCAACATAAATTTTATGTTTATTAAATGTATATTTATGGAAATGAAATATTATGTCAATGTAGAAAAAAATGTAAGCGAAGAATTAATTTTAAGCATTCGACATTTTTATTTCTTCATAAACCACGCGAAATACTAGCACTCATAAATATTCGTATTCATCGAAGTTTCCATTCGTACAATTCTCAAACGCTGATAATCGCTTCTAAGGCCTAAGGTACACGAAGTGGTTTTCGCTGAGTCGGCAGCTGATTCGGCGCATCATTCTTGTCCGGTAGTGAAACGGTTCTCGTGGAAAGTCGCACGACTTTCGTACCGCGCATACGATCGTCTGTGTGATACGCCAAAAACGATTTCATTTCCCCAATTTTACTTTCTACCATTGCTATCTTGGTGAAAGTGCACATACGATAGGACGTTTGTGACCAAAATTGGCTAGTTGAAATAATATTTAAACTTATTAACTCTTCTTGAATTCTTTTTATTTATTCTTCGCTTCAGAAAACCTAACTTCCAAGCATCTGGTCTCTTACGATACACGCTATTTTATAAGATTTTTCCAATATAGAATTACATTAAAGAATTCTATTTTTCTAAAAATTATATTATTCATTATTGACATAAGTGGAAATTTCACTTGAAATAACCGTTAATATAAGATATTAATAAAAATTGTTTTTATTTTGATTACTGAAATTTTTATCTACAGTCAAAAATACAAATGAGACACGTAAAATGTGATATTGATGACGGTAAATGTTATTGGACAGTTTCGTGACCGAGGTAATTTTCCGGCTTAAATTTGCTTGCATAAACTGCAATTCCCATCAATTCAATTCAATAATAGCCTGCGGCGTATCTCATACAAATTTCGAGACCAGTTTTGCACTTGGGAATGTAGACGAGGCTGTCCCAGGGAATTGATGTTTTTCACGGCAATAGCTCTATGAATGAATGAATGTTAAACACTTTTAAGAAGTTTCCGCGCGAAGTTAGAAGCCACTCTACTTTTCCTGCCATTTTTTCGATTTTCCTTGTCCACGCCTCAATGCCCTCAATCACATTATAACTTATAACACAAAGTGCAAAAGTTTCCGCTTTTTAAACAGAAGTAAAACAATGTTTAAAAAATATCATCGTATATACATATATCGCTATATCTGTACTATAGTACTAAAGTACTATTAGTTCAGAAGTAACAATCGAAATTTACGGTTATTAAAAAGTCATTCGTTTTCTGTCTTCTAGAGTATCTCGGTCATAAGAGTGGACAATAAATCCCTCGATTTTAGTAATTATTTCGACAAATACTTTCACGACAACTGATTCTAAAATGTATCAAATACTTTCTTTAAATTTCGATTTATATGTATTCACACAAAGCCTTCATTAATACTTCGAACTTTTGAGAAACTATAGAACCACCTTAATTTTGAAACATTTACACCAATATATAAACCAATAATTTTCTATAGAAACTGGGACTTCCATATTGACTGATCTTGTAATATAATTTGGGAAACCGGAAAGATGAATGAAATGAATTTACAGCCTGTCGGCTGGTTCTTGATATTTACGTCCTACTTCACTAATATGAAGAGTTATCTCTTTTCCAATAGTATCATGAAATATGACCTGCTTTGTGTAGTTCTATATAAGTAAAATAAATATTATTTAATACACAACACCGATTGAAGTATATCATTTACAATGTAATATACAGTGTGATATTCGCATATTATATATATAAAATACGAGATTTCTTTGCTTAACATTCTTGCTCTACTTTCAGATATAATAAACGTTTTTGGAGACAAAAATTGCTTCCTTTTTGAGTTTTCACAAAAAGGATAATGAGATAAAAATAGTTCAGCTTATAGATAAAATGATAAAATAACATCTTGTCGTGGAAATTATAAATCGTAAATTATATGTGTGTATGTACATATCATTAATCGGACGAATTCATTAAAAGTGTTTATATTCAATATTTGGCTTTAATAAAACTTTTGGCTATGTATGCATATCATTTGAAATTTTCTTTCCTTGTTGCATTATAAATTTCTTCTTGCTGTACTACATTGCTTTAGATCATTCACTTCACCTTGCTTGCACATCCTATTTGTTAAAAGTGACAAATATTCGCTTGCATATTTTTATGAAATACCTTAATTTGTGACTCGTAATGAAAATACCGAAATGTACTTTAGAATGTAAGAGAGGAAGGGAAGAGGAAAATGAAGTCGGATACCCGTTGAAAAATACTAAAATAAAAATAATGAATGATCAGCGATAGTACTTAAACAACTTAAAGACTGTACTATGTATACATACTATTGTGATCAAAATTTTTAATCAAAGTTCTATCATTATCATTAATAACTTTAAAATCAAATTCCAAACGAAAGTTCGAAAATTATAGTTAGAATTTTAAGCTATTAAACTTTATTATCATTTACCTAAATAAATATATCAAAAAGTATTATATATCATTGAATTTTTATGATAATTTGTGTCGAGAAGCAACATTCAGTTTTATTTTAAGCATGGATACCAGAAAAGCGAACAGTAGGAGGATTCGGACATTCAATTGGGAGAAAGTTACGAACTGAATGGAACATGCAGTCAGCAAATTGTTAGATTAAGTCCTCTTTCAGATTCATCTTTAATAATGAAATACTTTTTCTTCAGCCGACTAAATATCGAATTTGTTTCACATTAATTAAAAACAGGATATTCTCATAATACATAATAGTTTTTGAAATACATAGAACTAGTATTTATGATGGATTAATTTCTTCTTCTTAAATCTTCTTCATATTTCCAAAGTGTGAATTATACATACATATAATAAATACGTACATATGTATGTATAGTGAGTAATGATAGAATTCGTATTGTTGTTGTTTTCGACGGTGAATTGAACGCAATTACCAAATGAGTTCGATTTAATATTCAAGACCGAAGCATAAAAACTAGGTTCGAAAGTTTACGATCCAGCATAAAATTCGCTGTACTACGTAATCCAGGTGGAGGAGGAACTTTTGTCCGAGAAGGTCGTATTGTTTTAAGGCCAAACTCGATTGTCTTGAAGGATTCCCCTTCAGATACGACTCGTTTTATTGGAAACGAGTCTGACGGTAGGGAAAGCGATAATTCGGTTGCTCGATAAAAAGCAGGAGATAACGCTCGAAGGTTGAGGGTGATCTAACGGATCTCCTCGTGTAAAAAAAGGAGCAAAATGTACGTTGAATCGATTTGCTATACATTTACTTGCACGTGGGCGTTGTGTCGGCCTCAGAGCTCGGCTTTTCATCTCACAATCAAAAGCGAAGAGATCGGCAAGGTGTGTTCCATTCATCTACTATATCTATACAAAAATTGTTGAATAAAAAGACGCGTCCATTATTGACTGAATCGCGTACGTCATTCAGTGCACTGCATAAGTATTGTTTAATTTCGCTTTCATATAACAATTCCCAAGATTATTTTATATTTCGAATCATTGTATCAACGTAAAGGACAAATGACACAGACACTAATATACATATGTATTTTATCAAATAGTTTATAAATTTTGTACGAATAAGATTACTACTTCAATCTACAAAGTATAAAAATGATCATGCATGAAATGATTACTGTATGATTCTTAGAAGTATTAAGGAAATACATAATCATGCTATGAAACACGCACATCAATAAATATGATAGCAATAGAATATTAATTTTCAGTGCATACCTTCTTGGATGTATGTTTGTGATAGTGATGTGGATGCAGCATACAAACGTAACGATCAATTGCCATACAGACGAGGATAACGGCACTTTGTTGAGTTAAAGCTCCCCTAAGAAGTGCCTAAAACGTTACAAATTTCAAATTACAAATTTCAAATTACAAAAAAATACAAATTAAAAAATATTAACATTCAGTGCTTACAATATTATGCAAAAATTTTACTCAATACATAATTAACTAGTTCTAATATATAATGTTGTACGATGGAGTGAAAATTTCGCTTCATTATAAAATTAAATAAATATGAACTTTAACTTGAATCAACGTTATAAAGTTCAAAACTTTCCAAAAATACAGAAAGACCAAGCAACGCTATGGAATCTGTCAGCGGGTCATACATATACCAGATTCCAGAATGTAGTTAGGTGGTAAGTTTTTATGGAAAGAAAAGAAAAATTACGAGTACCAAGAACGATTCGACAAAGCGTCGAAGTTCTATTTTATTATTAATCCCTTAAAGACCTGGGAAACATTTTTCTTATGTATTTAATAAGTGATTAGATAGGAACGTGTTAACACGGCTTAAGGGAAATCTGATAGAAAATTGAGATCTTGATAACATGGCTATGGTCTTAAGGGCTTAAACAGGCAGTGCCACGAGTCGGACAGAAACTTCATTATTCGAAATAATATCATCATTTGAATTAGTGAAAATGCAATCTATGTTTAATACAAGGATACATCTTATACATTTAAACTTAAATAATATTTTATATTTAAAGAAATTGCTTTATCGAAAACAAAGATATTTTGAAAATTTTTCACCATGTTATTAGCTGCAATTTATTGAGTAAAAATTAAGTAACAGAAACATTAGTATTGTTGGCTCTATTTAATTGAAATGGAAGTCTTTTATCTAAAGGCAAACATTAATCGGCTGTCTTTTCTCCAAAATCCGAAATTCAAGTTAAAAAAGGATACAGCTGCATTCCTGAAACTAAATTGCTTAGACTAATCGTAAAAGTAGGACCGATAGAATGACAGTCGAACAATTCTCTTAAAGAGAATGCAGGCGCCTTTCTTAGTACTTTAAGATTAAGTGAAATTTATTAACACGTTCCGTGCCAAGCCATTTTTGCCTGACTTGTCGTTCAGGCCATTTGATATTTTGATTAAAGATGCACCATTAAATGTAATTATTAATTATTGTATATATAACAATTAAATAAACTTATGTGTTTTGTTCTTTACTGCATCTTGTATAATGCTTCATTTTTTAGGTAGAAATATAGTTTACAGAATTATATTTGTAATAAAATATATGTTTTCAGCGCATTAAATAAATATGACTGCGTGTACCACCGGTGGTACACGTGGCCTGACGATCAAGTTTACCGTGTACCACCGGTGGTACACGTGGCACAGAACGTCTTAAAAGTTTAACAGTGAATTATTTTTTCACCGCCTAATTCCCATAAATATTGATTCTAATTCTATGATCATTACAATATAGCCAGTAAACACTTTCGCGTTTCTGCTGAAGGTGTACTTAATGCCAGTCACTATACTTACATTACAATACTACTCGCTGAATGACAATTGATCTTCCAATCACTTCCCATCTATCAAACTGTATAGTTAGATAATCACGCTAACGTAACTCTGCTATCTGTACTCTCGAGCTGGATTAACACCCTCTCACCTACATATCTATACGTATACACATATTGTCACCAGACAGTTTAAATCTTCAACTGTTTGTGTTGCACATATCATAATAAAATCGATATTACAGAAATTATCCTGCTGCAACTAGTGCAACTCATGACCTCGTGCTTACAACGTTATAATATACAGGGTGGATCAATAACTTTTAATACTTAATTATTTCCGTCATTTTAGGAGATATGAAAGAACATTATTAACCAAAGTGGCTCAGTTTATAGAAGGCTATAACGTCTCGGTAAAAGTATTTTTGTAGATACAAGAGCTACGGAAATTCCACAGTTATCTCCGCTTTTTTAAATGGAGTCACATAGTTTCTTTATGTACTTGTTGCTTGCAGCTTGATATTCTATATCAGGAAGTATTACCCCATGTATGTATATCGGAAAATTATTAGTTTAGGAGATTGTTTTACTTTAACTTTGTACAATTTCTTCGCTCTCTCAAATCGTAAATTCAGTCCTAAGTTAAGCAAAGTTAAATTTTAAATATCTCATAATTTTTTGATGTACATAAGTTAATACTTTATTATAGAGAATGTCAAGCTGCATTAACAAGATTATAAAAAATATGTACGATTCCATTTAAAAAAGTAAAGGTAACTATACAGGGTGTCCAAGGACTAGTGGTATATATTTTAATGGGAAGTTCCTGAGGTGATTTTAAACAACTTCTTCCTTTGTGAAAAAGTTGTCTGAAGCGTGGTTATTGAGTTATTAACAAAAATCCCCGACCAATCAGAGCGCGAGTATACAAGGTGGGCAGGAGCGCGGCAACCGCCTCGCGCTCGTGACGAGAGTATAGGTTTAAAGAAAAGTTGCATGCAAAAACGAACTCATAACTTGGTTAAATATCAGAAGAAAGAAAGGGATTAGTCGTTACTTACGTTCACTGAACAAATGTAACTATAAATACTCAATGAAATAACTGTCAATGTTAAAAAATTACAGGGTAGGTAAAATTATGAAAAATGTGAAAAGAATTAGAATTGGACTTACTTTTTCGTTGGTCAGTGCACCTGCTCCTAAAAGAACGTCAATGGGTCAATGGGTCGACCTTCGGCATTCGAAGATAGGACACATGGCTTGCAGCAGCTCATGCTTGGAGTAAGTCAGGTGTACTTACCAACGAAAAAGTAAGTCCAATTCTGATTCTTTTCGCATTTTTCATAATTTTACCTATTCTGTAACTTGAAAAATTGTTAGTTATTCCATTGAGTACATTACACTTGTTCAGTGAACGTAAGTAACGACTAATCGCTTTCTTTCCTCTGATGTTTAACCAATTTATTAGTTCGCTTTTGCATACAACATTTCTTTAATCCTACATGTATGTTCTCGTCACGAGCGCGACATACGGGCGCGACAACGCACGAGGCGGTTGCCGCGATCCTGTCCACCTTGTATACTCGTGCTCTGATTGGTTGGGGATTTTTGTTAATAACTCAATAATCACGTCTCGGACAACTTTTTCACAAAGGAAAAAGTTGTTTATAAGCACCACAGGACCTCCCATTAAAATATGTACCACTTGTCCTGGGACACCCTGTATAAGAAATCTTCGTAAATCTTCTGTCTACAAACATAGATTTAACGATAAATTATAGTAGTCTTTAAACTGAGCAACTCTGGTTAATAAAGTTCTTTTATATCTCCCAAAATGACGGAAATGTTCAAGTGTCAAAAGTTATATACTGATCCATCCTGTATGAATGATAATATTCAGACAGTATGATATAATGAATTCTGTAATTTTATTGTCAAATTGTTCATTTAGTAAATTTAGTAGTAAATTCACAATGTGGAAATATCGAAAAATTCTAACAGCAAATCAGAAATTCTAAACTAGGTACGAAAGAGCTCGCCGATCCTTGAACAATTGAAATTCAAATACCCTTATATCCCTCCACATTTCATTTAAGCGAGTACAAAGTGGAAGCACTCGTAATCTCCCTCTAGAAACATATGCCATGAAAACGTACAAGAATAGTATCCATGACAATGCTTTCACATCAGAAATACGTATGCATACAACGTACCATGCAATAAAGACGATTTATAGTCTAAATTCAGTACATTTTTTAGTTCCGTAAAATACGAACCATTTTGTTAATTAGAAGTTTAAAGCATTTGGAAAGAATAAAAGAAAAATTAATTATTATAAAGTTCTTTCTAAAATCATATAAATTTCATTTAACACTTTTCCGTAGTATGCATTTTACGAATAATTAAAAATTACCAAATTAGGTGAATTACATTACTACACCATTTAAAAAGTTGGTTTGAAATTGAAATCTGTAGTTACTCTTCTCACGATATTGTGTTCCCACCGCTAGCCTTTAAGCGTCTGACTTATCGCATTTTAGTTCTATATGTGGCATCTATAATTCACATTCCTAAAGATGGACCATGTAGAAAGCACTTTTATTTGTAAAACAAATTACAGGGTATATCATTCCACCATGACGCATGTATTTTATCGTATAATTTCATAAATAATTTCATAAACTTACAAAGAAATTATACAAAGCAAGACATATTTTACATAAAAATATTTTGAATTTCCAAATGAAATTTTATTTCTAAAATAAATATTATTCTTGGAAATTGTTGACTGATTTTACTGAGTTTCGCAAGCTTACGGTTTACTTAATTCTCCACAAGTGTTCCAATACTTTGTATATGCCGAACACGTTTTGTGTACCTGCAAACTTAAGAGGAATGAAGAACATTTTCCTCTTCAAGTCAAGTATGTAGTCTCAAATACGATGTGCCAAAGGCGACAACGTGATTCGATGAATCAGTGACACCGGTGTATCCATAAAGTAGCGACTGCGAAGAAAGGAGTGAGAGAGGTGAGAGACGTTGGAGGGTAGTATACGTTTAAGATGGTTGCCATGGTGACCGTTGGCGTACAGCCAGGAAAAAGCTCTGATAATCTGGAGGGGCTAGGATCGCCCTGGCCTCGTTTCGAGCTATCCTCGAGTCACTCCCGAGAGACCTTAACCGAATATTTTCTCCACAAAACGAATTTACTCAATCGTTTTCCTGTGCGATTCAGAGCTCTTCAATCTTTCATACACAGTTACTTTCAAAAATTAGACACGTTTAGCGTTTGCGAAACACGTGTTTCTTTACTACATTAGAAGAAACGTTTTTCCCAAGAATAACTTTATAATAATATGAATAAATAAAACCGAATGTTACCATGTCTAATACAAAATCATCCGAAGACGTGCTTATATAAATTTCTTTTTAATAAAATACATATTATTTGAAATATTTAAAACTGTCCTTTCTTTTATTGAAAGCATGATCCACTACAATTATACATACAACAGACTGTTATTTAAATCTGCTTCATGATCGTGTCTACAGGCATCAATTCGAATACCG